GCCTGTGTCATGGTGAATACAGTCGCTGCTTTATTTATGTCTGTATAGGCCGTTGTTGTGAGTGTGGACGGTCGGAGCATATACTGCGTTAGCTTAGCCAATCTCCATTTAGAAAACACGCATTTTAAAAGGTTTTTCGCCTGCCGTCTGTCTGCAGACTTGTCAAAGCATTAATTCAAGGTTTTTACTAACCGGTATCAGTATGTTGTTACTTCGGCATCATTTTGAAACGTGTATTACAATTAAATCACGGTCAAATATGTCCATCTTGTTGTAGTTGTAGCCCTCTTGCCAGCAATTCTCTCTCTAGTTTAGCATACTCAGCCCGACACAGCCTCGTTGTCTCTGGCCCTAGACCCACGATTTTATGAGGCCAGAAAAACTGTGAATTAGGACCCGCCGGCCGGTACTAGGCCAAGTGGAAACGCAACCAAAGACGGGCCGCTGACGTCACAGCCCTCTTAAACCGTGCTCCGCGCTGTAGTGGAAACGCGCCATTACCCCTAACCCAGGAAAGTTGAGCCACAAGACCACTTTTTTTTTAGAAGTAATATTTTCACTGCCCTTGATCAAATATTAATTCTTATCATTGCCATTGATAGGAGACATCCTGAATTTTAGGTGTGTGCTTTCATTTTACTATGTGTCATTTCTCCTTGCTTAGAGGACAGCATAACTAAAAAATGGCTCAACTTACCCCACTCTCCCCTACAGCTATGTAGAATAGATTATGTATAATACATTTAATTAAAGTAAATGTATTCGTTTTTTCAGTGTGTTGATAATAACTGAATGAACAGAGAGCACGGGGGAGGTGTACTTCTCCTTTATTTAAAGAAAAATCAAAGGTCTATCAAGGTAAAGCACCATATCATCTGAGAAGGAACAGTACAGCGAGGGGAGACGCGGTGACCATGGCAACAGAATGACAGTAACCCTAAATGCAAAGTAGGACATCTCATTACCTTTCAGTCAATAAAGGAATTTGACCTTCCTCTGAAGATGTTCCAATACTTCCCTGATTGCACGGTTCAGCTGTTACAATTGGATACTGGAAAATGGCACTACAAAAATGGTTTAACATGAAATGTGAACAGTCCATTGTCCAATCACAGTCACTGATTGGTGAATAAACTTGCCCGTGAGATGATATGTTCTACATCACTGAATGTGATTTGACAACAGTTTTCTCTGCCCAACCATTTATCTAGAGAATGTTTATTTATTTTCAACTTGGTGAAGTGGAATGACCTCCAGCCATACGCTTGAACGCATCGCAACACCACATCGATGCTCAGGAGGACACACTCCTGTCACTTCATAACAAGGAATCTCTAGCATGTGTTCGGGTTGCTTACATATGGCACAGGTGATGGTGGATTGAGTTGCTCCACATGGATATCCACTAAATCCTATGACATTTACAATAGACATTAGGCGCATTCACACCGCAGTACTTTTCCCACAAAGGTTCATGAGAACTCTTTAGTTCTCATGAACTAAGTACAGATGGCGTTCACACCGGAATAAGTTCCTGGGGAAGGATTAGGCAAATGAAGCCGCTTACGTCACTTCTTCTTCTTCTGCTTTGGGTTTACTGGCAGGCCGCAAACAACTTCACGGCGTATACTGCCACCCGAAGTCCCCGGCCGGAAGTCCCCGGAGTTGGGGACTGGCTTCAGTAGAAGCTGCTGGGACTCCCAACAGCTTCTACTGAAGCCTTCCGAGTAAATCGCCAGAACGCCGACACCTCCTCATCTCCATCGCTCCCATGTTTTCTTTTGTGTTGCCATAAATTAGTCTCTCTGCGTTTGTGCGCTGGGCTAATGCTAATGCTAATAATGCTAATGCGAGGATAATAAAATGGCGGCTTCACAAAACTTTTTGGGAGTTTTACGGGGCGTGGTTTGCAATCCGCCCAGCCAATCAGACATAGGAACCTTTTTCTCCCAGGAAAGTACCTGCTCTCTAGCAGGGACGGAAAAGGGGGTAAAAAAGGTTCTGATTAACTAATTTGAGTTCCGGCTCTTTTTGGTGTGAACGCGGCATTTCGGAACTATATCGGAACTAAAGTGGGAAAAGTACTGCGGTGTGAACGCGGCTATTTAAACAAGGAGAAATAAAGTCCTGTTTAGCATTTGGGTGACAATGGAGCAGATGGAAAAAACACCATCAGCCACCAACCAAACTCCAGCAGAGACTCAACATCCAGACTGTTAGATAATAACTCATAGTCATAATTCAACCTAATCCCTAGGATTTTAGCAACACTATGCATTTATTTGGATTCAGGGAGAATCTTTATGCTTGCTCACTGATGCAATTTCTTTTAACCAGTTTTGACAATAATACGTTGAGTTTTACAAAGTTTTACCTGATGCACATCGGTACATAAGTTAAATCTGCGTTTTTGGCGAAGGAGGCTAGGTGATGCTGATGTGAATGTAGTAAACAGAGATTTTAAAGGGATCAATAGCTCTGTAGTCTGTAGTAGACTGGTTGAGATGCATTTGGATGGAAATAACCTCCTGTAACGCTTTAATATAAGTTTAATAAACCTTTTTTCAAGTGTTACCTGCCTCTCACGAGTGGGTGCTAACTACCCAGTTAGCAATACATTCCCCACAACTGAAGTGCTAATGCATAATTGTTGCATATGATCATAATTCAAAGGAATGATAGTTGAGAGTTAAATAACAAATCAAGCTTTTGAGATGCATTTCTGTTCGTGTAGGTGACCATTAGAACAGACTTTGGATGAGTTGACTTCACTGTGGGTGCAGTTGGAGGCCAGAGGGCATTGTTGGTAATGTAAACAATACACATACAAACATAAAATATGAGAACATCCAAAAGAAAAACAGCACTGTAAACATGAAATAACAACAAAGCAATAAACAAAAGGGTACAAATATACAATTGTAGGCTTCATTCATGGCAGGTATGAGTGTTCAATTTGTAGCATTTCATAAATCAGCAGGATCTTAATGTTGGTTCGCATGCTGGTCATGACTAAAAAAGAGAGAGAATCTATGTACATGGCACATATCCAAACTATGCTTCGTTTGTAAGTGTGTATTAACTTCCTTAAAAAACATTCAAATGTTTAAAGACAAATACATAAACGAGAAGAAATCCATCCTGGGTCACACAGTATTCATATTAACAAGCAATATTTGACTATTTATTTGAACTGTTTGACAAATGAGTGATCCTTTGGTACGATACCTCTTAATAAAATACAGGAAATCATGTGCAGTGTTTTAGTCTCTGGTATGTGTTTAACAGACTGAGATTACAGTTATGGCATAATCTGGTAAAGAAGTATTCTGTTGGCAACTCAAGAATATTAGGCTTTTTTTTATCAGTTAATCATCAGTGTGTGTCCTTAATTCCTGACAAACAACAGTTCTATGTAAACATGATGATACGAGAGTGGAGTAAAGTTGATAAGGATAGGTTTTGATATTTTCGCTGTAGTAATTCCTCCTGTGCATACATGCCGTGAAGGGATCCTTCCTGAAGCGACTCTTCATGCAGCAGCAATGCTACAATTATCTTATAACCATCATGTCCATTTACATTTCTTCCATGTAGTGTTGCTCTGCTCATAGAACAACAACCTAGAGTGTCATGTAGTATGTTTACATGCACTCAAGAAACTGGCTTACACAAACAAACAATTTGGGTGTGTAGGATAATTCCTATTGAAACTGATACTCACATACAGTAGTGACAGATGTGAGGTGTGACAATCTTTTTGGGCTGATTGTGCAGTGTTGGCATATCTAGTTATGCCAACACTGAAAAACTGAAATGTTGACTTTAATTCAATGTATCATGTCGACAGATTTCACTAACTGTATTGCGTTCGTTGAAACCTAATGAAAATATTAGGTTCAACTTAATATTATTGCTTTCAACTAACCTAATATAGTTATATGAAAATTGTTAACATAACAATTTTTAATTAAAGACAACGTTTCAGTAAGCCAGAGCAAATTACCGATAGTGTGTTTGAATGACACTCAATAACAAAAAATAGAACCCTTGGTGTTCATTCCCATTACCATCAGACTTTAGATTGAATTGAAATACAAGGATGCATTGTAACTACTAATGTTTTCTCCTTTCACATTGACACCTTTTTGTCTGAAATCTAGCATGTAAGAAATCTAAATTGTAAAAAAAACAAAAAACGAATACAACCTGGTTACATGAGTCATCCTGAAGGTAGCAACTTTTTAGCTTAGCATTGCACGTTGAAAAACAGAGCCTATGTGTTTTCTATTTAATGTGTGTAGCTACAGTGATTGTGTGTTGAGCACTGCCAAAATGCAGAGGAACTACAATCAACACTGTGCCTGAATGCATCCTGTTTAGACACAGAGAAGCTCTGAAGCTACTGATGCGATGCTAACGTGCTGCTCTCACACTGGCTCTGTGAAGGAGTCTGTTTTGAAGTCTCTGCCCTCTAGTGGTCAAAATCATTAAATGCTGACCTTTTTTGATTGTCTGCAAAGTATTCAGGTTTTAGAAAGCCTTGTCCATGTAGTGCATTGTGTGTGTTTTGTTCTCATCTGAAGGATGAGATTATAAAAAACACTTTTCACAGGAGCACAGGGTTGACCTGGATCAAGCACTGGGGCTTTCTATGGCAGGTTCAGCATGACATTCACAGTGAAGGAGCGACAGAGCTTTGTGATTGGACGAGTAAATATGATTGGTCACTGGCACTGCAGGGTGCTCTGCCCAGGAAACAGTTGTTGTTGAGCAGGAAACAGGAGAGTAGCTCAGTCCGTAGCAAAGGTCACATTGAGGTTCTGTCAGTTTAGATGGCATTGCTAGCCTATATGGAAGTCAAGTAATGGCACTAAAAAAAAAGCGAATTAAATTGCTGTTGGATGATGTATGGCAAATTTAAATAAAAATACAATTTTATAAAGTTTTCAACTTATTACAGCCAATATTAAATTAAATCTAGAGCTGTAAAAAAAAAAATGGCAAAGCTGTAGTGTTGAACCGCAAGCAGGGCTTTAGACTAAGTCTTGTTTTACAAACCCCTTTCCAGTCAAATCAACTACTTGATAATTGATTATTGTTCGATGACATTACATGTAAACATAATAAGTCCTCCAAATTCCCACATTTCCAAATCCTAGAATATATGAAATAATTTGTTATTTATACGGTATTATTTCACAAAAATCAAGCTGAGAATTCTGATTTAGAATTTGGAAACTTAAGATGTAGAAACGTAATTTTTTTGTTAATGTTCCATAAACTGGGCTTTCAGTCTATATTCAAAGGGGTGAATAGAAAGGGAAGTGACCCCACCCGTTATGGCTCCATGTGTCAGTTTGCATGCTACGAGGTCTCTGGGCTGTCCTCTGCAGGCTCCACAGGCTCCTGTGGTCTGTACATGAAGGTGAGGAGGAACAGTGCCACGTCATAAGAGCACCAATAGGCTGTGTGTGAGGTCACTGCCGACCAATAGCGGCTCTCCACCAAGCCCTCCCTCAGCTCGAAGTCGATGCGTCTCTCCAGTTCCACTAAAACAGAGGAGAAGACAGATTAGTATCCAGCTGCACAAAGAAATGTTCCTTAGTGGTTATCTGGAACCTGGGGGACTTCAGCAGTATTGTCTCATTGTCTCATTGTCACCATAGTAAGTCTGTATTTTTCTCAACTCTTAATAATACTGACATATATAATTTATAGGGCTGTCAGTCGATTAAAATATTTAATCGCGATTAATCGCATGATTGTCCATAGTTAATCGCGATTAATCGCAAATTAATCGCACATTTTTTATCTGTTCTAAATGTACCTTAGAGGGATATTTTTCAAGTTTTTAATACTCTTATCAACATATGAGTGGACAACTATGCTTTATATGTTTGTTTATTATCATTTGAACAATGACAAATATTCTCATGAATATTAAACACAACAACCTCTGAACATTACAAATATTCGCTTCAATTCAACCTGGAACCTCTCTCATACAATACTGTGTGTGTGTGTGTGTGTGTGTGTGTGTGTGTGTGTGTGTGTGTGTGTGTGTGTGTGTGAGTGTGTGTGTGTGTGTGTGTGTGTGTGTGTGTGTGTGTGTGTGTGTGTGTGTGTGTGTGTGTGTGTGTGTGTGTGTGTGTGTGTGTGTGTGTGTGTGTGTGTGTGTGTGTGTGTGTGTGTGTGTGTGTGGAGGATCGTTGGAGCTATGTGCAGCTCAAGGCATATATGCCTGTGTGTATGAGCTGTGTTGCGCGCACTATCCGTGCTGAGTGTGCTGTCTGGCTACCTGCATAAAGTCAAGTGCTCGGCGCAGTTGTCGGCGAAATGTCGCTCCTCTGTTTTCATTGAAACAGCTCCTTATATCCGTTAGCTCAGCTAGCTAGCACCAGATGCTAACAACAACACGTAAGGTGTGCTTCGCTCGCGCCACACATACACACACCCTCCCGGTCCTCCCGATGGCCAGTCCGGGCCTGCCGGTGAGCGTGGAAGTGTGGTCTGCCACGCGGGCAGCAGGAGCGGGGCTGTCAGCATCAGCTTGTAGATGGTATTTTAAACTCGATGCGCTCTGAAACTACGGCGGCCGAGGACAAAAAATACACATGCGTTAATCGCGTTAAAATAATTAGTGGCGTTAATTTTTTTTTGCGTTAACGCGTTATTAACGCGTTAACTTGACAGCCCTAATAATTTACAGTATGACTGATATGTTCAGGGTTAGACAAATAACAGATGATATTCAGTAAAGTTGCCTCTACAGGAGCATAAACTTTGATAATATTGACGCTTCATTTGAATAGTGAATATTGATTGTGTTGCTGTGAAGAGAGTCAGTTATATCGAGTTCCTGGCAGCACACCATACTGATAACTTGAACTCCACCACCAACTGTTCAGCCATTGATAAAAAGGCCCAACAACTCCTCAGGAGACTTTAAAGGGCAAGTCTCCCCACGCCAGTCCTCGCCAACTCCCACAGGGGCACCATTGAAGGAATTCTGACCTATAGCTACGCTCCATGGGTTGGTTACTGAAGGCACCAGCTAAACAGGAGAGTAAAGACACCTCACAAGATCGATGGTGCCCCCCTCTTGTTCCTGCTGGAGATTTATCATCAACACTATGTTCACAGAGCCTCCATCATCATCATGGACCCCCACCACTGTTACCACAGTCTGCTCCCTCCTGCAGTCTGGGCAGCATATGTGGCAAACACATCAGAGCGCTAATTAGCTCTCAACCACAGGCAGTCAGGGTCACCAACACACTGTGCACCCCCACTGACATCCGACCCCCCTACTGAACCCCTCATTAGTGCTATTTTCCCCCTTTGACATACACCACTTGTCAACATGTACTGAAAGATGCACTTGCAGTATTCTGGTCACTTTGTGTGTGGTTTGTAAAGTACATCTTATCTAATCACTTATCTTAATCTTCTTTTTGCACTTTTGTCAGCAAGGAGGATATCATTTTATTTCTTATGTATGCAAATACAAAAAAATGAATGGCAACGAGCTTAATCTTGATTCTTGAAAAATGACAACAGGAAACCGAATACATTTTATGGTTAATTTACTTGGACTGTCATACACAGCTGCAGGCAAAAGCTGGAAGAAGTACTACATTATTTACTTACGAAAAGTGGAAAAATACTCAGTAACAAGTAAACTTCCTGTATTCAAAATCATACTTAAGTAAAAGTACATTAGTATTAAGTAAGTAAGTACTAAAAGTGAAAGTACTTGTTATGCAAAATTGATCTTTTGAGCACCAAATATTTTAAATAATTGTAGTAAATGTGTTCATCACGGCGATGTTGCACTTGGTAAACATGGAGTATTTTAATAACTTTATCTATAACTATGTAGCTAAAAGTATAATAACCTATAATAATGTATTGATTTAAATGTTATATCAAGAACCTACATCTTTAAAGTAACTAGTATCTAAAGATGTACAACATTTTGTGGAGTAAAAAGTACAACATTTGCCTACAAAATGTAGTGGAGTAAAAGTACAAGTACCTCAATGTTTTACTTTAGTACAATACTTGAGTAAATGTACTTAGTTGCAGGTAGGTTTGTACTCACACGAGGTGCTGTCCATGACCGCTGAGATGGACTGGGACATGACGGGCTCCACCTCTGTCCTCTCCTCCTCGATTTCTTTGTCCTTCTCCTCGGTTTCTGCTACAGTTACTCCTTCCTCTCCTGATGCCACTGTTTCAACCTCAGAGGCTCCGCCCTCAGGATCTAATGGCTCCTCCTCCACTCCGCCCACCTGGCCACTGGAACGGGAAAAGTGGGAAAACAGGATTCCTCCGATTCCCTTTCCAATACTGGCAGCACCTGAGGGGCATATAATTCACTAATTGAGTTATAAATAAAGTGGCGCAGTGAAGACATATTTCTGTGATTTGATCCGGGAACGTATTATTATGGTGTGATTATTCAAAAATAAATCTGTGGTAAAAAAACGTTTTTGATACTTACACGTTTTGTTCAGCAAGATAATCTTCACATATTAACACCACTTTATGTTTTTTTAACAAAATATGCATCCACTAGTAGTAAAATGCTATTGTTAGGCTATAAAGGAGCTAAATCATTGTCACATGGCTACTCATCACCACAGCTAAGCTAACAGTGGCTAATGCTTGATGACGTTGAGTAGTCTCATTTAGCTATTTGTAAGCAACTGCTATTTTCAAAACACAAAAAAGCTTTGGAAGTTTACAAGTGACATATTTATTGGTGGGGGGATTATTCCTATAGAAACCCAGTCAGTATTTGACCTAATACTCCAGTGGGTCAAAAAAATAGCAGATTTTTAAGGCTTGTACTGGACTTATAGCTACATTGTATCTGATTAAATAATTATGTCCTGTTGGGAAGCTAAACTGCATCATGTGTGTCATAACCTGTACTCTTTTTGCATTGGTAGAATAAAAAAAAAGTATATTTATTCAAGTATTGTACTTATGTACTATTTTGGCATACTTTTACGCCACTAGATTTCTGTGGCAGGTCATTTAGGTTGCCTCAGGTTTGACAAATGACACCGTCAAAATTATATTTTTGGTAATAAAAACGAAATAATATTGTTTGATTTTAGTAAACAAAACGAATATAAGGTTAGGAAATTGACTTCGAAATGCTCTTACATACTGTATATGTCTATTATGTGAAAAAGGAGCTCAATAAAGTGGACATACCTACTATTAATGAAAAAACACATATTTACTGAATAATATAAAATGTTAGCTGTTTATGTGCCTTTAGTCCCGCTTTCCTCTGATGCATAAAGGAAAGTAACAGAGACCAGAGTTAATTGCTTCTATTGATCTGTTGAGCCCCTGCCTACTGTCAACTGCTTGCCTTGCTACAATATCAGCAGTGCAAGCAGCTCCTGTTCCTCTCAGCACAGATCAGGCAGACAGTGAGTGCTTCCCAGGCATTCAGGGCCTTCCACAAGGATATGGAATTGCAAAGGGAATAAGAGAAAAGCTTGAGAAAGAAATTGTCAGTAAAAGCCCAAATTTGGTGGACTTCGGCACAATGTAATATGGCTTTTTCATAATTTACATTGATCTTAATTAGTGCTTATTTAATATTATTTGTTGGCTAGTTTCCACCGTGGAGACGGGCTACATTTCCTCCACGCTGCAACAACCCTGTTTATCTCTGCTTGAGACTCTGATATTTTTGCGAGTGTAGCGCAAGAGAAAAGGGACATTTTTCTGTCATCCCGTTATGCAGATAGTTTAAGACCTTAAAGTAACGCAAGTAATTAGATAGTTTTGTGCTTAATAACTGTCATGTAGTTACTGCTGTTATCAACAGTAACACGTTAAATGACTGTGTTACAGACAAATGTAATCTGATTACTGTAACGTGTTACTTTGTAGCGCCTTACCCCCAACACTGGTGCTTACCCATGATGCTGGCCTTGCCGAGGCTGGTGATGGACTCTCCGTAGTGCCGTCGGACCTGCGGGGGGGAGGTGCAGGGGCTGGGGATGCTCTCTGAGTCGGACACTGAGGCCGTCTCCTTGGGGGGGTTCAGCAGCGTGGGCCGGACCTGATCGTACCGGGTCGGGCTGGTGGTGTTGTACCTGTGTTGTGACCACATCAAGAGAAGGAAACAAGCACTGAAGACAATAGGCTACATTTTAGTAGATTTTTTTTTTAAATGTAAAGGGGGATTAATTAATAACCAGCATCTGTTATAAATAACAACTTGTCTTACCAGTGGATTTGAACAGGTGCAATGTTACTGTAGTGCTTTAAGATGAGAGGCTCCAATCTATATGCCTGAAACAAACAAACAAACAAACAAACAAACAAACAAACAAACAAACAAACAAACAAACACATACAAATGTTAGAGCAGGGTTTCTACATTGTATCTGAATATAACTGCCTGTTTTTTATTTAGTTTACATGGATTTATGTAATCTTATAGCAACACCAGCAATAGTTAGCCAGTACTCATCAATAAATGTCTGCTGATCATAAAAGTCAGAATAGCGACCCAATTGTGCTCACCACGGGGTCTGTGGGATGGAATATGTTGAAGAGGCGTTTGCAGATGGATGTGGGGAGAATGTGGTCCTGCACACAGCTGTTTCCAGGCCGGATCCCTCGCAGAGCCAAGAAAACAGCCAGAGGAGAGCCCATGCAGAAGAAGTTTTCTACCTGCAACACAGAGAACACAGAACAGCAGAATTCAACAAGAGATCAAGAGACTCATGTAAGGCTCTCAGCTCATTGACCAGTTACATAACACTGTGGCTGTACTGGGCCACTATAAACAATGTAATGCTCACTTACCAAACCGTATTTTAATAACTAGTACGTTATTAGTTTGAATTTGAGGGGTTGCACGCTAAAACTCTTAAATTAAATGTATTATGTCAACACATGTCAAATAACTGTATTAGATTAGTTGAAAGCAATAATATGAAATTGAACTTAATATTTTTTATTTAAATTATTATATTTCTTTCAACTAACCTAATACAATTAAGTGAAATATGTTAACTTAATACATTTAATTATAGTCAGCATTTCAGTTTTTTCAGTGCAGAATGAATCAGAGGTTGTATGGAGTCCGATAAGCGTCAATAATGCATATAGAAGGATTCAAAACATTTATTTTGTTATCTCTCCATAAACCGTTTTTCATTTCACACAAAGTAGTTGTATAATAGCAGCAATTGTTTATAGTGGAAATAAAAATGCATAAAAAAGTAATATACCTGAATGTGTTTTTGATGCACGCAGAAATCCATACAAAATGTAACAGGAGTCCACGAATCAATGTACTTAAAGTATTTACCTTGAATTTCAACTCTGGCACAGCAGAAGAGGAAGTCCGCAGACCCTGGAACTGATCCTCTAAGTCTCTCAACCTGGGATAATAGACGCAGAGATTAGTATGCAGAGATTAATGAATGTAAAGAGGCTAATCTTCCTAAATCGTTATGCTAGGGCATCTTCTTTGCAGTGTCTTCTTTGCAGTGTCTTTATTGATCCACATAATGTCTTAAAGCTAATGAACACACCGAAGTAGGAAAAACAACTTCCCAACACTAGAAATGGGATTATCAAAGGATTGATCTACATGTTTACCTATTATATATATGGAATAAACATTCTAAAGTTTCCTGTACCTTCTTACTGAAGTAAACATTTAGCATTCAGTGTCTTCCCATTTAGGGTGTGGCAGTGTATTTTTGTACACTGAAGAAACTGAAATGTTGACTTTAATTAAGTGTATTATGTCAAGAGATTTCCCGTAACTGTATTAGTTTAGTTTAAGGCAATAATATTAAGTTGAACATAATATTTGTATTTAAACTTAATAGTATTGCTTAGAACTAACCTTATACAGTTATGTGAAATCTGTTGACATAATACACTTAATTAAAGTCAACGATTCCGTTTTGTCAGTGTAAATGTGGAATCAACTTCCTCGTTGTTGGAGATGAATGAGCGGTGCAGTACCTGAGGCGCGTGAGTCTCAACTGCTCCTGAAGGTGGCGCTCCTCACCATTAGGCCAGCGGGCCTTGGCCTCCTCCGGGTCTGGCACTTCTTGATGATGAAAGCGCACGGGGTCCCAGCCTGTCATGATGTCGAAGGTGATGACGCAGCCCAGCGAGTGAGACACTATCGACACCTTCCCGTTTTTCTCAAAGTCCGGATTTCGCGTGCAGAAGAGCGAGTACAGACGATTCAGCTCCAGAGTCAAACCTCTGGTGATCTACACACACAGACACACAACAACACACACGTTTGAGAGGCATTCAAAGACATAGAGTGGTGCAGTGATGACGTATTTTTGTAGGCTTCCCAAAGTTAAGGCTCAAGGGATCCCCTGACAAAAATCTATGGGATTTTTCCATTGGATTTTTGAAAACTGCAGAATCTAAGACCTGTAGAAAACACATGTTTATCGTACTTACACTTTTTTTTTCCAGCAGGATAATCTCCACATATTAACACCCCTTTTATGATTTTTGAAGAGCAAATGCAGTTGCCTGAAGTAAAAAGCTAACGTATTGCTTCACTACCACTAAGCTAAAGGCGGCTAATGTTCGGCGTGATGACGTTTATTATTCTATTTGGTCACTTGTTGGCAACCTCCATTTTTATGACACAAAGAAGCTTGATATTCATGAGTTGGGTAATTATTGATGTATTCTATGTCATAGAACAAAACGGAAAAATCTCACGGGGGGCCTATTCTGCTTTTGGGGGGTTTCCCTCTCCTGTAGTGTGTTATATAATTTTTTGTGCATGTAAATGGTCTGCAAAGGCTAAAATCCCTTTGTTGGTTCCAGAGGGGGTTCAAGCCCCCACCTGAAACCCCTCCATTGGACTCCTTTGTTTTCTGCTTGAACACATTAGGCGCGTTCACACTGCAGTACTTTTCCCACTTTAGTTCCGATATAGTTCCGAAATGTCGCGCTCACACCAAAAAGAGCCGGAACTAAAATTAGTTAATCAGAACCTTTTTTACCCTCTTTTCCATCAGTTTTCCGTCCCTGCTAGAGAGCATGTTCTTTCGTGGGAGAAAAAGGTTCCTATGTCTGATTGGCTGGGCAAACCACGCCCCGTAAAACTCCCAAAAACTTTTGTGAAGCCGCCATTTTATTATCCTCGCATTAGCATTATTAGCATTAGCATTAGCTCAGCGCAGAAACGCAGAGAGACTATCTTATGGCAACACAAAAGAAAACATGGGAGTGGTGGAGATGAGGAGGTGTCGGGGTTCTGGCGATTTACTCGGAAGGCTTCAGTAGAAGCTGCTGGGAGTCCCAGCAGCTTCTACTGAAGCCAGTCCCCAACTCCGGGGACTTCTGGCCGAGGACTTCGGGTGGCAGTATACGCCGTGAAGTTGTTTGCAGCCTGCCAGTAAACCCAAAGCAGAAGAAGAAGAAGTGACGTCAGCGGCTTGATTTGCGTAATCCTTCCCCAGGAACTTATTCCGGTGTGAACGCCATCTGTACTTAGTTCATGAGAACTAAAGAGTTCTCATGAACCTTTGTGGGAAAAGTACTGCGGTGTGAAAGCGCCTATTGTAAGATACTGTAGGCTAAGGGGCGGGACATCTCTTAGCTGTTGACCAATACCAACAGAGCTAGCCAGCTAACCAATCAGAGCAGACTGGGCTCTGGTTTCAGACAGAGGGTGAAAAGAGGTGCTGCAGCACAGGCAGTATGAGAACAATAAAGAGCTTTTTGAACATTAAAGCATGGAGACATGGATGCACAAAATACTAATATGAATCTGAAAATGAGAATAATGGAGCCCCTTGAAGCTTGTTTTAACAACAGAGGTTTAGGACTCATTCCTGCATTCCTTGCTATGTGTCAATAACATACGAATATATTTGGTTGAGACTTAAGGGTCTTGGTGATTCATGTATTCTTTCACAGTCAGGAAGTAGACCATAATTTAGAGCTGGATTAAATCAGTTTAACCAGGATTTAGTTAATGCGGGCTCAGTGGACTTAGTTCCTGAACTGCCAGCATAGTAACAAAGTGCAGCACCAGCGCTGAGGGGGGACAGAATGAGGCTAAACTTCAGTCAGTGTTCACTACAGGGAACAGGAGAGCTGTAGTGTCCGTCTCACCTCGTCTCTGTACAGCGGGCTGGTGTAGTACATGATGTCCATGGCGCTGCTGTTCAGCATGTCTCTGAGGCCCCGCACTTTGTCTGGGGTGATGGAGTCCACCCTGTCTGCAGGGAGAACACAAATACATCAAACCCAACTGGAGGACAATCACAAAGACCATATGTGTAATACTGTTTCATATTCTATTGAAAACAATGTTATTCTTAGTGTTTAAAAACATACATTTGAATGTTTTACCAATTGAGAAATACATGTTGTTCTGTCCAACCTTTTAGTCTAAATCATGATAACTACTGACTATGACATCTGGAATTGACATTTAATAGTGACATATTTGAATCCGTATAACAGTCAGAATGTTGGCTTTTTCAACATTTTTGTTTTAGAAAAGATATCACAAAGAAACAACATTTCTTTGAAATTGGATATTTGTGATCCCTAGAGGATACATATTTGTATGTTTTTTGGTGATGTTCTAACCCAGTTAGGGATATCCAAAGGCAACAAAACAACCTAAATATATAATAATCTAACCATACATTTGTTTGATCATGCCCCTAAAAGGATAAACCCCTTTGATATTTAATAATCCAAATTACCTGTTTCAAGTTCCAATTAGGTCAATACGACTTTGTATCTCCACTGTTGGGGGAATTTCTTGTGCGTTCCCTTTCACACTGCATAATTAAATATTTATAAATTCCCTTGAGTTCACTTTAGTCAGATTGTTTCCTCTCAGCTGTCATGGCTTCTCCCTGTTTATGCCCAGCCATCAGCAATAACCATTCTTTGTGTGTTTCCTGACATCAAATAGAGTGTGTAAAAAAAATGCTTTTATATGCCATATTGACATTTTTACTATGCCACATGGTCTATTGGCATTGGTTGTAATAATTGAATAGTGAATAAATCTCAGTTCTGTATTCAATAGTGTAACTAGGCTTTTTCCTGTCATTTTAAACATGTAAGGCAGAACAAACACTGAACCAGACTGTTTTTGTTTTGGATGGTGGTGAGTCGAGGTGCAGGGTACCTCCATCCAGAGCCAGCTTTGACCTCCACTCCACAGGAAGGAACTCTACATGCTCTGTGGTGCGATTTGAGAAGTGCTTCTCCTCCATCTTCCTGGCAGCGTCTCTCATCCTGCACGCCAAGACAAAACAGTCACTTCAAGATTCATTCTGAATCCCTTTTCAATTATCTGTGCTTCCAATGTGAATTTGTTTGATCTCTCACATGCTGGTGTTCCTGATGATGCGACCCTGGTCCATTTTCTGGCCAATGCCATGCACCACAAAGACGATGTGGGTGGTTTCGGGTGGGGTGTCCTCAGGTGCCGCCTCTTCCACGTATCCCCGATGGAGACGTGTCCCGCTGCTGGAGGCTGAAGACATAAGAGGGCACATTATTAACTGAAGTGATGTTTCTCCACAGCAATGTGCCTGCGTTTAATTTAGGTTGATGTCTAGCACCTCTTTAGGGACCATAACCCAGTCCACAGTCCATACCCCTGCAGGGGTCCGAAGCCAGGTCCCCAGGGTCTGAGCTACAGCCTATCAGCCTAAATCAGTTCTGTAACCTACAAATTGTAGTCACGCTTTAATTCATGTGTTCATTGGTTTTTAAGGGTCAGTTCGCCTAAGTTACAAACATTGTCTCTCTTGATGATGTTAATGCGCGATAAAATAATTGTTGCCGTTAATTAATTAATGCGTAAACTTGCCTAATTTTTTGTATATGGATTTTGAATTACATTTATATAAAACGAAACAGTATTTGTGTGTGGATTGAAAATTACTTTTGTAGATAGACATTTATTTATAAATCCAGAATTATATTTGTAAATCCTTCTGTGTGCAATTATTTATTTTGACACTAATCTGACCCCATATAGGACACACCGCTCACACACTTACCTTTAGAGAAGCCCAGTTTCTGTGTGACACTGCGAGCGATCTTGGAGGTGGTGGCGTCGCTGTACAGATACACCTCCTCCACGCTGTGCCAGTCCACGTGACTCCGGCTCAGTTTCCGGCTGTGGATGGCTGGGTGACAGTCACAGTAATTAACAGCAAGTGACACACTTTATCCAGCATAATTAATTTACCGTTCCCCATGAGGGTGTGTAGAGTGTGTGTGTGGGTATGTGTGACAATCAGGCTGGAGGAATAACGGATTACATGTAACGAGGATTCATAATCAGGATACAAAAATAAGTATTCGATTACATTAACATAAAAAAAACAAGTAATCAGATTACTATTATATATTTAAAAAAAATAGAGATTAGTATCAGGAAACTAGTACTCCAAATGTTTTCATATCAAATATCTTTCTTTTCTATATAAAATACTCAGATTACTGATTACATTTATGGACAAGTAACTAGTTACTGTAACGGATTACATTTTTAAAGTAACCCTCCCAACCCATCAATTTACAAACAGACCTCACACACCCTCGTCTTCTCTTCTCTTATTGGTAAAGCTGGAATAACATCACCTGACTTGTTTTGTGTCCTAGTTCTGAATCCCGACCATTTTCCCAACACCTGCAGCTTCTGTGCACATTTATCTCCACACACACATACCTATCTACCTGTCACACACAAATATATTTCTATGTCTTCCTCACCATCCTTGCTGTCCACTGTGGTGTCCACCACCTCCATCTCGTAGGTGTCCCTCATCTGTTGCCCTCGGAAACGGGCCAGGTACTCGATCTCGATGGGGTCACTCTCGTCCTCCTCCAGGGGAAGCCACGTCCCGTCGATGAACCACTGCCCCCTCATCACAGGGATACGGTCTTGCTCTGAGGGACACCACATCATGTTGACTTCACTGTTTAAAAGGTTGTTTTAGCCTATAGGCTTGCTCTAATTCCATATCTTTATCAAAGTACAGAAAACAGATACTTTATGGGATTAAAGAGATGTTAAATGAATGAAACACAGATATGACATGGGGTATAGGGTTAGTGAAAGGGAAAATCAGTGAATTACTATCTTTGGCAATGAAAAAATGTAAAAGACAAGAAATCAAGGAGAACGGTATGGAAAAACTGAAACGTTAAGACATTTAATTAAAGTCAACGTTTCAGTTTTGTAAGTGCACTGGGAGGATGTGTATAATATGTTTAGACTGTTCCACTGTCATGACAACTGTTACTTTCAATGGTATCAGTAGTTTGACTGTTTAAATAGTGGCAATAACAGTAGCAGCAGAAATAAAAATGATGATATTGAAACTATTTTGCAAGACAGTTTGGCTGTGTGCCAGAAAACACATAATGTTCTTATTTCTGATAGATAAATAGTGAACAGAGTTGCAATCATATTTGTATTTTAAGTTTAGAACTGACATTTTTGTAAATTCAGCAAAAAAAGTAATCGCAATACCTAATCAATTTTAAGTCATTATGAAGCAGAAACCTTTCAAAAAATAAATGGTTGCAGATTGTCTAATGTAAGAATGTTCTGTGTTTTTTTATCATTGTAAAGAAAATGGCCTATTAGCACATTTAACTGATACTAACAAGTAACTGATGAATTGACTCATTGTCTGATTTTAACAATTATGAATAGAGGTTTTAGTCATGGCAGAAATAGTGGATGAAATCGTTTTTATAGATTGTATTTAACAGTTACAGTATTTACCAGTTGTACTAAGCACATGCTACCCTGCAGTAAATAAAGTAATTAAAATTAGTTCCACCTTCATTCACCCAGCTTTATAAACAAATGCATGAATTATAATCAAAACATAAATGGGCCAATCTGCATAATGAGTAGGCTCCTTTTACTTTTTGTTCTTTATAGTATTAAGAATGGCAATACTTTTATACTTTACTTGAATAACAATTACAAAACATGATTTTCCTAGTAAAAGAGTATTCCCTCTGGTACTTCTACTTTTACTGAAGTACAAGACCTGAGTATTCCTCCACCTCTGACAGCAGCCTCCAGTACAGACTGTACAGTACAGACAGTACAGACAGTACAGACAGTACAGTACCCTACAGACTGGTAGCAGTAATTCAATGGTATTAGTGTATTTGAACAACTTACGGTTCCAGTAAACAGGGTAACATTCCTTCTCCTTGATATCCACTTCATAGAGCCCCCCTCTGACACACACTGCCTCCACGCCAATGAGGATGTCGTCCGGGTCCCCCATCTCCTCTGACCCGGAGAGCCGCTGCCCTCCGCCGCCCAGCACCGGCGGCTCCGCCCGGACCCCGTCCACCGCCCCGCTCTCTGCCTGGGTTGCCTCCTTCCCCTCGGCCTCGGGTGGTTCCGCGGGGCGTTTGACCTTGTCTGGGTTCTGTTCACTGAACCTCCGATAGACAATCTCAATTTTTAAAGAGTCGTGTCCGACGAATGGCTTCCACGTCCGCTTGTCCTCTTTGTAGAACCAGCGGATCTCCTCCGGTCCCAGCTCCGTTACCACCTCGCCGCGGTGCCGGGAGCTGTTGGACCGTATGCGCTTTTTGGTTGTCACATTCCCGTCACTTTCCGTGTAGTTTGGGTCCAGATACGATGAGCCCGAGTACTGTTCCCCGGCCAGGCCCAGCATCAGGCCATCCGGGGACAGCAGCGGCAGGTGTCGGTCCAGACCGGGCTGCTCCGGATCCCCTTCCCCGGCAGCAACACCTTCTCCCATCGGAGTGTCGTCGTAGCCGGTCACAAACACATCATTTGCCATATCCCATTCACTACTGCTGACGGAGTTATTCTCCGAGCTCTGTTGACGGATAGTCGGTGTATCCTTCATATTGCTCATACTTTGGCTAGAATACATTGAAATAGCGTCATAAAAATGTCCCTACCGTCAGACTATTACACCAGATGAACGATTCCCTTCTCCCCATCTGGTAACATCTGTATGATGAACCGTTCTGATCCCGACTACATCTTTACTATTATCGCTTCAGGTTTAACATATTTACCCAGACGATTTGAACATCTATCACCTTCTTTCCTGCCTGTCTACACTGCTTTGGGTGAAAACTGCTGGAATAATAACGGTACTAGCTAGGATGGGAATCTCAGTCGCTCCATGACGTCAAATGAATGACGACACACCAAGCTTCCTTTTCAAACCTTCAAAATAAACTCCAAATGAATGACAACACACCAAGCTTCCTTTTCAAACCTTCAAAATAAACTCCACTACTAATTTCAGAAAAAGAAAATACATTTACATTTAAAAGAAAAATAATGTATTCCAACTAGCTCAAATGTGTACTTTAGAACAGTACTTGAATAAATATACGTAGTTATTTCAACCACTGGCTTTTACTATTGTTTACTGTGTAATTTAAAGGCGAAATCAACCATATTTCAAATTAAAGGTCCTGCATGAGTCGGCAGAAAAAATATATTTTATTTTAAATATGATTTGAGAAAAAGCTCAACATATGTCTAATATAAACATGTGATTATAACGCAAATATCAACTTAATTAGTGGTTATGGTAAAAATAACGTAACGTTAAATATTTGGCATTAATCTGATACGCGTTGTTTACTTCATATACCTTGTAGGCCACCGTAGATCTATTTGAGGAGTTCCTGACTGTCATGGCCGTCATGGAAACTGTTTACCAGAGGAGCATTTAATAACTTGGTTTATAAATCATAGGAAATGGCAGCGGTGTTCCTGGTCACCTTGTATGAATACTCCCCGTTGTTTTACATTAGTGTGGTGTCTTTGTGTTTCGTTGTCACCGCCGCCATGGTGCTAGGCTGGTAAGTGATATGTAGCTAGTAGCTTAGCTAGCTTAGCTAGCTTAGCCACTGCCCTGACTACAGCTGTTTGATAGCATCACATTATTTCCTCGCGTTAACATCATACGTCTCCCTCGGATTTGGTCGATTTTACCAACGTTTAACGACCTGGCAAGTCGCCTATATTATTACCTCAAAAGTAGCCATATTTTAACATATTGTGGCTAATACATGTGTGTTCTAGACAGTTAAAAGCATCAATTAAGATAAAAACAAATGAAAACTTTACATTTACAGCAAAGAATAAATGTCTTTAAACCCCTTACTGTCAGATTGAGGTCACCTGAGTTTTGACTAAAAGGTAGTTTATGAATATGCTTCACAACATGGCAGTCTGCACATTCTATTTACATATTCATTGTGTACACAGTGGTGGAGGAAGTACACAGATATTTTACCAAAGTAAAAGTAGTAATACCACTGTGTAGAAATACACATTAAAAGCAAAGCACCTGCATTCATTTTTGTAATTAGGATAAAGTACAAGTACCAAAACTAAAAGTGCTCATTATGCAGTACATTCTGAATTATATATATAATATCAATGGATTATAACTAGTGATGTAATTATGTGTACATCTTTTACATTTTGCAGCTGGTAAATGTGGTGCTAACTAGGTGGATAGCCAAAAGATAATTATAATAATTATACTGCCATGTATTTTAATCTTTAAATATACATAATTATTCATTAATTGGTTTTTAATTTGTATTAATAATCTGAATCTGCAAAATAACCAGTGACAAATGATGTCAGATAAATGTAGAGCAGTAAAAAGTTCAATATTTAACTCCAAATTGTAGTGGGGTAGAAGTATGAATTAGCATAACATTTAAATACTTAAAATACAAGTACTTAACAATTTTACTTAAGTACAGTAAACTAAATTAGTACCTTACCAACACTGGTGGTGTACAAGTCAAGGTAATAGATGAGAGGTCAGACGGACAAGGAAATCGGATCATCCACATCAAATTCCACCATTAACCAATAGTACAAATATTTCTTCTCATCAGCCAATCAAAGCATATTGGTAAATTCTGTTGGTCTGTCATGCAATAGATAATTATTTCCACTGATTCTTTCTTGTGTGTACCCCTCTCAGCTTTGTTGTTCGAGAGCCATGCAGAACATGCTTACATTGTGCTCCTTCTAACTTTGGTGCTTTGTCTCCCCCCCACAGGTTTGGCTTTGACGTCCCAGTGATCCTCCGCAGCTCCGATGAGACGGAGTCTGTCCTCCCCACCCCTGAGAAGCAAATGGTTCAGATGACCAATCCCTTCGCCCTGGAGATGTGCCCTGGGTCGGCATCCGTCACTGGTGAGAACATCACTCATCATCACTAACTCACAACACAGAAACTGGGGGGGGTCGAGATTGTCCAACCTTGAGTGAAAGTGTCCTTCTCAACCCTTAGAAGCTTCCTTTATCCAATATACTGAACCTGAGCCAGTGACACCAGCAGACTTCCTAAAGATGGCTGGCTCTGTCATCGGCTTCAAACCGGACACTTTTGGTGGAGAGGTGGACTCTGATTATTCTGTTATCCATTATGGAGCAATTACCATACAAATGACAGCAGTAACCCTGTACAATGCCTCACCTCTGGCTAACTTTAGTTTTTTTAAATGTCTTTTTAAATGGACTCTTTTTGTCTACATACAATATGTACACACATACATGTTTACATATTGTTCTCACACTACCTCACTGCATTTAAACTACACTTCAACCTTCCTTTTTAATAAAGCCTATAGTTAAAGCTTGTTTAAGATTAGCCTATGTTTTTCCTCCTGAGTCTTAAATGTTATGGTATTTTATGTTATTGTTGTGTTTTGACTGTGTATTGTATCTCAATATATTTGTATCTTTTTTATTTGTTTTTCGCATTATATCTTGTCTTTTTATAATTCTCTTGTAATTTTCTTTATCTTCTAACACTGCCGTCTATATTTGTTAATCTGTAATGCCCATTGAGACAAATGTGGTTTGTGATAATGTATGGGGTCAAAATAGAGTCAAAATTAATATTTTCACACAAATGTTATTCTGGATTTATATTTAAATGTCTCTATCTACAAAAATATTTTATAGGGAACTGCCCATAATAACAGTTGCTCTCTTGCAGACGGGGTGTCTCTGAGGCCCTGCTGTCTGGAGCCCTGTGTCCTCAGCTGTTTTTGGGGCTGTGAGGTCCAAGCCCTGCAGGGGGCGCTGCAGGCCCACCAGCACGGCCCCAGACTCAGCACCCCCCAACACTTCCAGCAGGCCCTGCACCCCCACTACCACCACTGCCAGAGCTTCCAGTATCCTTCACAGCGCTTACACACACCCCCAAGTTAATATTGTTATTCTGATGTTCTGATTCAAATCAACCGTGTCGTGTAAAGTGTCTTCCAGTTACCAGGAAAGTATGGGGTCAGATTAGTGTCAAAATAAATAATTGCACACAGAAGATTTTACAAATGTTATTCTGGATTTATATGTAAATGTCTTTATCTACAAACGTATTTTTCAATGTACACACAAATACTATTCTATGCTATATATATATATATATATATATATATATATATATATATATATATATATATATATATATATATATATATATATACAGAATCTCTCTACGTTTGTGCGTGGATTTGTGCGCCACCAGGGAGCATCACACTTTTAATAGATATATTTGTGGATTTATATTATATTTCTTTGAAAGAAGAAATATTTCAGTTTGGATCAGAAATATATTTTCGAAACATATTTATATATATTTGGATTTTGTATTCAATTTATATAAAACTAAGTATTTGTGTGTACATTGAGAAATATTTTTGAAGATAGAGACATTTATATATAAATCCAGAAGTACATTTGTGAATCGTTCTGTGTGCAGTTATTGATTTTGACACTAATCTGACCCCATACTCCCCTGCGTGATTGGCTCATACACGTTGTTCCTGATGTTAGCCTCTTTGACCCGCCCTCCAGTATCGGCAGTGGAGACAGAGCGGAGCACCACACACACATTCCTGCTGACCACAGGATCACGGATTTTGGGCCGTTGCCAAGGCAACACTACCCTCTCGTGGCTGTGCTGACGCTGGCAGAGTCTGAAGCCAGAGACTCGTACAACATCGTAAGTACTCACGATCAGACATTTCCGTCAGTGTTAACATGTTAATACCTGTCTTAACCCCTCCCCCAAAGACACATGGTGTTAAGTCAATGCACACCGTACATAAGTACAACACATGAGTAGATGTACTTGGTTTCTTTCCACCACTGATTGACACTCAATAAAATATCATCCTGGAAAAGCACCTTAATAAACCACTCAGAATCCCATCTGATCCAATGTAGGAACCCATCAGTGATATGTCTGATGAACTTATCTTATTTTGGAGTTCCTGGGAACATCTGATCAAACCATGACACATTAAGGGGCTGCAGGCCGGATTCAAACCTGTGCGCGCCATACAGCGGTCCAGGCTTCTTCTTTTTGGAAACACTTACATACAAAGCCCTTTTGGGACTGGATTTACATCTTCATAATCTATTTGCCAGCTCATAGAGTCCTGTTGTGAACCTGGAAACGATGAGTACTCCAAAGTTTTATGTTAGACATTTAAATATATAGAAAGCACCTGCCGGATGCTAACTCACTATGTTGGGCAATTTGCACAATTGGCATAAGTTGCATTAATTACAATTATAGCTTTAGTTGACAATATAAAAAAAATTTAAATCAATTTTGGGGGTTATTGAGGATGGTGAATGCATTTTTGACATTTTCAGGATAAAAAAAATGCTGTTTTAACAAGAAAGTGTCCATATTTGTAATTCCGATGGGTTGATTTTGATAAATTATTGGCCGATCTTGAAGTTTTAGGGGACTCTGGATCACTTGGACTGGACAGAATGCTTATTTATTTGAAAAAGAATTGTCCATAGTAGAGGTCATATTTTCATCTTGTGTTCCCTATATCCAGTGGTCGCAACACTACTCATGGTAATCAAAATCAGCCCACCAAGAGTACAAATATGGCCACTTTGTGGTTAAAACGACCATTGTTGATTCATGATGGTGTCCTTGTTCTTCCAGGTGGCCTCTGTGACAGTTCTTCATGTTCCTGATGACAGATACAGCCTCTCTGCTCGGGTTCTCTTCCAGTACCTGCTCACCGCACAGGGCAACATGTACGAGTTAAAGGTAAGTCACATGCTATGGGGTCAAATTAGTGTCAAAATAAAATAATTGCACACAGAAGGAATGACTAATGTAATTCTGGATTTATGTATAAATGTCTCGATCTACAAACATATTTCTCAATGCACACACAAAGTATTACTATAGTATTATTATTCATGTGGTTGATGTTACTGTGAGAAAACAATGAGCTCTGTTTCCTGCAGCCTCTGTTCATGTCAGCTGACAGCGTGTTGTCAGAGCCTCCTGACTCAGAGCAGAGCACCCAACCCAGGGAGGCCTACGACGGAGCCAGCAGGGGGGAGCAGAGTCCAGAGGAGGAGGAGGTGGAGGAGGTGGAAGAGGAGGAGGACGAAGAGGAGGAGGAGGAGGACTGGTCTGAGGGGGGGGGCAGAGGCTGTGTGGTGTGTCAGAACGCGGCGGTGAACAAGGTGCTGCTGCCCTGCAGACACGCCTGTGTGTGTGACAGCTGTGTGTCGCGCTTCCAGCACTGCCCCATCTGCAGGGCCTTCGTGCTGGAGGCCTTCACTCTGACAGAGGGAGGGGGGGGGGGGGAACTCTGATTCACACTGAACCACTTATATAAGGGCTAAGCTCTGACCATGTACCATTTGTAAATGTATATACAGCTTTATTCAGACATAATGAACCTCAGGATGGGATAGACCAATTGCAGAGACACGTCCTCCAAACACGCATTAGCAACCCCCCCCCCGCCATATCTGTGTCCCTGTTTGTCTCAGAGTAACCCCAAAAACAGACGCCTCCACTCCTTTATTCTCAGAAACACACATTATTTATTGTATCCTGTCGATATCTGTATTACCACTCAAATGAAATCTCCGCTGATCACTTTAAGATTGTAGAGCAAGAAAAGCAGTTGCTAAGGATGTATATAACAGAGTGATATTTTCATGTACAAATAATTTATGTTGACTCTATGTTGTTTGTTTTAGAATAAGATGGTTTGACCTCTTTTACAGGACCAGTGCAGTATTTATTGACCAAAGCTTATTACTTCCTGAGCTTTAATCTGACTGTAAATAAATGTGTCAGCAATAATTAAAATGACTGATGATTTATTGGAAATGTGTTCAGGATTCAAGATCAGGATGTGATCATCCATGGGGCTTATTGGCCCAGATATATCTGACTTTTGTCTGAAAACCTACATTGAAAGTGTGAAACTGGACAGCCGGTTATTGGAATATTGCATCAAACCCCGGCCAGATTGACCAAATTGAATGGAAAATCATCATAGTGACTTCATGACCTTTACTTAAGATAAGACAGTGTGTAAGCCTATTGGCTGATGTAAGAGCAGGTGGAGACACCACATGCTGACTATAGACATTGACACTCAATAAAATATCATCCTGGAAAAGCATCTTAAAGGTCCTGGAAACATTACTCCTGTTCCGCTTCTTTTGAGTGCAGATATCACAAGTGTGTTTGTCACTCTGAATAAAAATCTGTATGGGGTCAGATAAGTGTCAGAATAAATAATAGGGATAAGGATTCACAAATGTTATTCTGGATTTATATAGAACTGTCTATCTAGAAAAGAACTCCCTGTGGGCCGGATTTAGATGAATTTCGGGCAGATTTTAGAACTCAAATTGCCATTTTCTATCCTAACAATGTCAGAAATGGATTCAACATCCTCAACCTCACCAGATTGTCCAAAAGGGCAAAGCATTTTTTTTTGCTCTAGTCTGTATGCTAATTAATCCAATTTGTGCTAATTTAGCAAATTGCCCAACATATGCACGTTAGCATCCGGCTGTTTCTATGGGGACCCGTACTATACATTTCAAACTAATAAAACGTTGGGGTCCTCAACATTTCCCGTTTCACACTGCTGGCAAGTAGACGATTATGGGAGGTTGGTCTCCTAATAATTGTGTCCGTTTCAGTTTCCGTTGGGTCAGGATATTAATTTCTCTGAATGACTGTAGCATTCCGTGACCCATTCAAACTAACAGCTGTTGTTGGTCTACTACGGTTACTAAATGCAGCAGTTTAGGGAAACACTGCAGATACACAGAATGGAGAGGATCTGACACTTCATGAGGCCTTTCTTTCTCATGGTTCTAAAAGGCTGAGCTGCAGCAGTATACACCGAGCACAGCTGTGAACATTTGCTTGATATCTATATTGAGTTCCTGTTTGCGGTGTACCCATAGATGTACTGACCAATATTCCTGGATATTATTGATACTGAAGGAGACTACTATAAGGCAAGACTCAGGAACACACTTGTACACGTGTTTAATCAGTTTGAGCTCAGTACGTTCACTTGAAGGTAATAAGAGAAATGAGAAGTCATAAATTGAAAAACACAGAACTTTCAATATAATTGTATATTTTCAGAACATAAAAGGTATTTATCTGTAAGTGTTAAGAGTTTTGTGGGATGCCAGAATGATCAGCCTTTTGGATCCAGATGAAACAAAAGGCGGGTCAGACTAATAACTGGATACAGGGGTTACCGTGTCACTTCGTAGGTGAGGACCGTGTACTTTTTCTAAACTTTTTGCATCCCACAAACATTTACAAACATTTTCTCCAGGCGTTAAAGCATGGAACACAGCAAAATGCAATGAAAAATATGAGAAAGGACTATGACACACAGTTTATAAAGGCTTGTAGTCCAGCTTGGACTCCAGCTTCTTCGAATCGGCCACCTTCCTCACGGCTTTCATGAAGTCTTCCTGAGTGACGTACTCGCGGTCAGCGCGGATGGCAAACAAACCTGCAAACAACAGAAAAAAAGGGAATCTTTGTAAACAACATGGATTGGAGGAATTTTTTTTTTTAAATGATACTGAATAGAAAATGTCTAACCTGCTTCTGTGCACACGTTCCGCAGGTCGGCTCCGTTGAAACCGTCTGACAGCTTCACGATGGCTTCGTAATCTGAAAACAGGCAGAGGCATTCACAGTCAATACACTGCTTACTTCTCTCCCTCTGTGTACAGGAATATTTTATACTCTTTCGTCCTTCTCACTGTTAGTTGCTAGTAATGTCCATTATCTAGAGACCAGGGCTTATTTTACTGGTACAGTCCAGTGTAGGAACCTCATTTCTTTGAAGGTATGACAAATGTTGCAGTACTGTTTTACTAATACCCAGTATTTTATAATATGACACGTCGTATATTTGTGTGATAAAATAAATACTGTTCTGAAATACTGTGGAAAGAGTAGTTATGCATAACAAGTACTTTTAATGTTGATACTGTTTGCTTAGAATACTTGCGTACCGCTGTAATTTAAGACCATAGTATTTCTACTTTTACTAAATAATCTGAGTACTTCTTCCACCTCTGGATGTTACACAATTTGGCTGATGGTCATTTTGTTTGAATAAAAATGAAGCCTACATCAGCAACCTGCCAACATTGTCACTGGGTCTTGGGAAAACATGGAAGAGACTAAAAGCTAAACTGAGGCAACATGGGGGGCTGCTGAGTCATGTGGGACTAGAATCAGCTTGTGGTCAGAAATGGGAGAAGTACTCAGATCTTATTTTTTTTTATGTATGCACCACGACACCTAGTCAAATTCCTCGTACGTGTGAACCTACCTGGTAATAAACCCGTTTCTGATTCTCATTACTTTACACCCCTGCATGTGGTGCGTGACTGACCTATTTCTCCGTGCTTGGTGATGGGGCTGGCGTGGATCTTGAGGATGTCCAGGCGAGCCTGCTCATTGGGCAGCTCGATGTCTGAGGAGCAGAGGAGGACGTTAGTGTTGCTGCGTGTTCACAGAGATCTGACACACAGATGAGGAAGGGGGGGGGGGGGACTTACGGATTTTACGGTCCAGTCTGCCAGGCCGCAGCAGGGCGGGGTCCAGAGTGTCCGGTCTGTTGGTGGCCATGATCATCTTCACTCTGTGCAGCGTGTCGAAGCCATCCATCTGGTTCAGCAGCTGACAGGACACACACAAGTTAAGTGTCTCAGTGCTTTGAACCCTCTATCCACTGCTAATATTATATGAATATAGTAAGTCCCATTACAACACAAGTGAATTCTGGGACATTTTAGTGAGCGATTTACCTCCATCAGTGTCCTCTGGATCTCTCTGTCAGCAGAAGTTCCCTCAGAGAAACGACGGCCGCCTACAGGACACACAGACGGTGAGGATTCAGAACACATGGGGGGGTTCTGAGAGAATCAAATGTAGTGAACATGTTTCTTTATAAAGCTCTATTACCCTCTGAAGTGTTAGCAGAAGCTTACGTCAGTGAAAAAGACTAAGCTTTAGCTGCTTCACAACATTGATTTGAAATGCTTTGATTGGAGCTTCAAGCAGGGTAGATGAGAATATACAAAGCCTTTAAAAAAATAATAAACATAACCAAAATACTACAACCCCGAGGATGCTTTACATTACAGTTAGCTGACACTTTGATCCAAAGTGACTTACATACACTTCAAAGCTGTAGACATGCCTACAGGAGCTATCTGAGGTTTAGTATCTCGCCCTAGGACACTTTATGGGGGTGGCTGTGGCTCAGGAGGTAGATCACGTCCTCAAATCAGAAGGTCGGTGGTTCGGTGTCAAAAGGCCATGTCCTTGGGCAAGATACTTGACCTCAAATTTCTCCTTATTTTCAACGGTGTGTAAGTGTGTGTGAATGTTAGTCTCCTTGTATGGCAGCCTCTGCCTCTGTATGAATATGGTTGAATGATAATGATAATAATACCTTGGATTTAAATAGTGCCTTTCATGAAACCCAAAATGATGACTTGTATAGTAAATGCGATATATTAATGCAGTCCATTTATCATATCATTCAACATGTTGAATGGCGGGTATCAAACCACTGACCCTCTAATAGCTAGGTACTGTAGGTGGGTTTAACCCCCTGGACAACAGCCCTACAACAACCAAATCAGATCGCCAGTGTCACTCACCGATGGCGTCGATCTCGTCCATGAAGATGATGCAGGGCTGGTGGTCCCGGGCGTAGTTGAACATCTCTCTGATCAGCCTGGCACTCTCACCAATGTACTTGTCCACGATGGAGCTGGACACCACCTGCAGCACACAGACACACATAGAATCAGCTGACTGGCTGCAGTGTGGCAGTAAAGCCTGATGTTGGTGCTGACACTCACCTTGAGGAAGTTACAGTCCAGCTGACTGGCCACTGCTCGGGCAAGAAGAGTCTTTCCTGTGCCTGTGACAGAAGGATTAAAGAGTGATATTTCTTGTCCTGGGATGTGCAGTGTTTGCATGGATGCCATTGATTGGCAGGCTAATAAAGAAGGGTATATGTTCACTGAGTTACTGACCTGGAGGCCCGTAGAGCAGGCAGCCTTTAGGGGGGATGATGCCCACTCTCAGGAAGAGCTCAGGGTTGGTCAGGGGAAGCTCAATCACCTGCCACCAAATAACAACAGCAGCATTATTTTAGAGCCATGGAGAACAAATCAAATGAAGATGCTGATTTGTTCTTTATGCCTTTCCTATTTATTTCCTCCAATAAGGAAAGGGTAGTCTATTGGGTTAGATAAGTCTCAAAATAAATAATTGCACACGAATTTACAAATGTAATTCCAATAGTTGTCTTGTAGGATTTGTTTCTGATCAGCTGTACCTCTCTCAGCTCTCGGATCTGTTCGGACAGGCCTCCGATCTCAGAGTAGGACACGCTCCCGGGGTCCTCGTGTGACATGTTGTACACCAGAGGGTCCACCTCTCTGGGCAGGTACCTTTGGAAGAACAGGAAACACATGCTGAGCACACACCCATAACCATCTGTGTGTACCATTTCATTTTCATCATACCACTGTGCAACTTGATCTTTTGTACAGGAATAAATCCATGGTTTACTACATACTGCATTCTTAGCATTATACGTTTTTGGTGTGGCAAATGTTATCACTAAGAAGTTCTCAGGCTTCACTTTTTTCTGAATAGCACACACATATTTGCAATTACACAATAGATCAGTTGAACAAAGATCGGATTAATTTGGACCCTTACATTTTTCTGTAGTGTTTTGGGTGGAATACTTTTTATAAAATCAAAGATTAACATTCAGGAAAAAGACAAATGGGACTTATACACACTTAAAATATATTTAATATATTTTAAGTGTGTTGTTTTAACTATGTTGTAATTAATTTTTACTCTGTAAAGTGTCTTTGAGTTTCTTGAAAAGGGCTCTATAAATATGTATCATTATTAGATTTTATTAATGTATTGAGGGCATTACCTTCTAATTAAAATGATTATAAGATACAAACAATGAGTTAGTACAATTGCACCACTAATCTGCAGTGATAAACAATGATTTGGAGTGAATAATGAATATGTCCTATATTTGAATGCTACATGGAGAAGAACACATCATTCTATGTCAGTATTCAGCATTAACATGTTACAGTTAGATACTTGTTATTCTGTGCTTCAAGCTTACCTCATTATAGTGAGTGTGGTCATGTCCAAAGCCACTCTGGTTCCTGGTTTCAGCTGAGACTTGTCCAACTGGATAGAAAGATTTAAAGATTAGTGTTTTTTGTTTCTGAAAAAAAGGTTTTAAAAAAATGAATGAGACTGCAATGTGCATTGTGCTGGTATACTTGGAATTGTTTGCTCTATCCAAAAATAAAAACAAGCTTGTATTGTAAAAAATAAATATGTGGGCAACACATTATGTATTTAGATATAGACTGATGTGCCAAATATTTGATTTGTTGGATTGGTCAATAACAGATATAATAATAATAATAATAACTGGTACATTGATTCCAAAGAGGTCACATTAATCTAAAAAATCCAACCATACCATTATATGCCTCTACATACACCTTTAAAACAGGTCAAATGAATAACTTTCACCGTAGATGGATATTTCAGGTAACTTTTATGTTCTGCACAGCACATATATGCAGGTATTTTTGCAATATATTACTTTTTTGTCAGTCTCCTGAAAATATGAGAAACAAAACAAGATGCTTTACATATTTGTATCTGTTGAGCACATACCTGTCTGCGACATCCAACCACATATCTGGGGCCGTTGGTGGCCTTGACAATGACTGGAAATAAACAAAAACAACAAGTTAGCATCACATGCCGGAGTTGATCACAGTTTGACATGTTTCAGTCACATGTTGTCATTAGAAATCGTTAATAAGTCACTAAACTTCAAGAGGGTAAATCTTAAGCCGGATTCAGCATCATTTATTTGAGACCGATTGATAAAGAAATGATTTGTTAACCTAAAATGAACACTCTAAATCCCCCCCCTAAATCCTCTAGCCATTAAATGATTCTGCCGCTACTTGTTAATGTGATATTTCATCCAATTAACTTACATTTCTCCTCTGTCAGCTGTTTGAGAACTTCTCCAACAATCTGCAAATAAAAAGGGAAAATATGGGGTTAGCATAGTCTGAATACAAAGCGGACTCTGATCTCGTGTTTGTCTATGAAAGTCCCTTCCACTGTCTTCACCAACTGAAACACCCATATATTCCTTTCAATATCAGTGAATACACTTGTATTGTGTGATGCTCTTTACAAAAAACTAAATAAACAACTTTAGGGTTTAGACAGAGCGCTAAGTTTGATCATTGCTAACACATCTGACTACTTTCAGTCAAGATGACTGTGTTTCACTTTTCATTACTTCACTGTCATCTATCATTGTTTTAGTAAATGATGACATACATTATAATCCCACTGCCTTTTTGTTGAGGGAAGCACTGTGTTGCTAACTTCAGGTCTTGGCCTCGTCAAAAACGCTGCATCACTCTACTGTGATGTTCTCTTTTATTTTGGGAGTCCAGGAATTAAATAATAATCTTCCAGTTTGATATCTATACCTGCTTTAACAAATCTATGGTTCCTTGCTGGTGAAAATATATTTCCTCAGTCTCAAATGTCCTTGGTTGTATCAAAGGATAATGCAGTCCTTTGTAAAATATTGTAATAATACAACTACAATAATAGAAAGTGACTCATTTTGTGGAGATTCAATATATACAAGAATACTTCGATCTACTGTTGCAGCCACTTTTATTATCCAGTGGGATCTAAACTCTTAAATGTAAACAAGTCCAGAACATATTCTTACCTGACCAACACTTTGCAGAGCCTTTAGGTCATTTTCTGATTTCTCATACTGTTTTGTTTGTTCTCTCAGCTGTTCTCTCACTGGAAAACAACAAGGGGAATAGCCAGAAGTTATTGTCTGTAGTTTTCGTTATCAAAGACAAACATACATCCGATGATGACATTGTTTGTTACAGTTAAGAATGGCAGCTCACTGTCAAACAAACATGCTAACGTTAGCTAGTCAAGTTAGCTTAACGTAAAACTGTTGATAAAGTCGACAGCTACAATGCGAATTCAATTTGTATCACGGTAGTAGACACACGGACTGAGGTTAACTGAACTTTATCAGCTATTAACGTATTTTAATGTTCGGCATAGCACTAATGTTACAGTTGTTTGTCTAATACCAATAAGCTAAGTTAGCACAGCTAGTTGGTTTAGCGTCACTTCCATTCATTTCTATGAGGGATGCTAACTGCATGACAAAGCAGTAGCTAGCTGGCCAGCTAGCTGATGCTAGCAAGCATCAACCTATACTATTTATCTAATCAAAATAAACACGATATTGTTGCCACACTAGAATCAACCACATTAAACAGCCTCTTACATTCTTTTAAACCGCCCGTCAATTTCTTTGTGTTCCAGTAATTTTTTTCTGTAGTCTTGCAGCCCTTTCTCCCTGGTGTCCGCCATGATGCCCCACTGAATGCTGGGAAACTGTAGCGTCACAAAAAGTGTTTTGCTATTAGCGGCCGCCCCCACTTTGCTATGCTGTATTTTTTAAAGTAAGAATTTATTTTTCAACTATTCCTGCTGATGTTAAAATATATTGCACTTTAAAATGAGTTTTCCTACCAATTTCCTACCAATTAAGGGGCGTTACATCTACATACAATAACAGTAATATCCAGTGCATTTACTCAAGTAGGCCTACTGTGTTTAAGAGACAAACCAAAAAATATCAAAGATTGAAATTGTTTAGGTATAGGCTACTCATACTTTAGTTGAGTATGTCCACATTATGCTACTTTTACTCCAATACATTTATTTAGTTACTAGCTGATTTGCAGATTTAGAAGTTTAATACAAAATATAAATCTACTAGTGCATTATATATTATTATAGGTTAAGCAACCAAGTAGTATATTACGTAGTCAAAATAAACCCCACTTTTAACAAGTGTGATGAACACATTATTCATGTTCATTTATCAATAATTCTGATAAAATTAATTTAAAACATGTAGTGCTTAAATTGGCCATTCTGCATGACAAGTACTTTTACTTTTGGTACCTATATATATTTGAATGCTAATACTATTGTACTTGTTTGTTTTTTAAAGCAGGACTTTTAGTTGTAACTGAGTATTGTTACACTGTAGTATTGCTTCATTACATAAGTAAACAATCCGAGTACTTCTTCCACCTTCCCCTTGAAATGTATCCATTGTTGTGTTTTCTTTAACACCTTTTTGTTAATACTCAAATGACATGCTTGTAAATTGCATCATAAGGATTCACATAAGTCTACAACTTTGTGTGTCAAGTGAAGATGGTCAAGTTCCTTAGAAATGTTTCAGTTTTCATCATCGTTGAATATATGGCAAGAAGTGTTGGAGAGAATGAGTGGCTACTAAATAAAAATATCATATGGGTGTTGAGAGATGTATCCATAGAGCTCCTAATTTTTGCTCTCAAAGTGCACCAGATTGATGCTTTTAACTTCAACATTTAAAAAAAAAAATCTTCCCGGGGGAGCATGGTTAGGATAGGAAACTAAATTGCACACATCTTGTGTCCATATCTTTATGTTTTGGTGGTCATGCCACAACCGTGCACGTGAATGCATGCGCGAGTCATGGTAAGATATCTGGATTAAGAGGTTGCTTTTTCTTTGCACAGCATGAAAGAAAGGCGAAATGAATGGGCTGTGATTTTAGTATTTTTAAGCAGAGGTAAATAATTTGTACGGCCCTCGGAGGATGTTGAAAAAATGTAAATGGCCCTTAAGAGGAAAAAGGTTCCCCACCCCTGCGTTACGGCCTCGTGTGAACGAACGGGCTATACGAAAGAGAAAAGTAGCAGATACAACCAGTGGCGTTTTTATATGTACAAAAGTGGTGGGGCACAAAAAACTTAGATGTCTATATATAAGCTTCTGCAGTGACGTGCAGTGAGGTTCATGGCTGGTGAGGCACTGGCACTGACTCTTCAGGTTTACAAATATTATATTTTGACCTAAACCAAAATATAATATTATTTTCAAAAGCTTTTTTTGTCTGATGCTTCGATTAATTTTAAACAGACAGTTCAACAAAAGGATACCCAAAAAATGTAATTTTATCATTTAAATATTGAATTGTTCTCTCTTAGTAAGATCCCATTTTCAATAAAATGGCGGTCTTACCTTGACTTGAAGATGAAGTCCATTTGCCTATCCTTCTGGACAAACATTTCTATTACTTTTTTGTAAAAGTCCTCCTTATCTTCTTGTAGTTTCAAAAGTCTATCATAATCTAATCCATAGATTTATGATAAAAAAAATTATATAAGTAGGGTAGACATGTGGATGTTATCCGGCTGAACAAAACGTGCATTTATCTAACAGGTACGTTTCCCACAGATCTTATTTCGAGCTATTTTCTAAAATCCTCTGGAGAAATCTCATTGCTTTTTGTGCTTACTTCCTGGTTTAGGACGCGCCACTGCAGCTCTCTCGTCTCCTCTTCACACACCACACTTTTCGCGGCACACGTACTTACAGCCAATCAGCTCTGAATGATTTGAGATGACGTATGGTGGGGATGGTAGCTCCGTGCCCCTCTGGTCATTATTTTTTTGCCACACACATTACATTACAAAATACTCTGAGCATGCGCAGTGTAGTTTTTACAGTCACGTTCACTTCACAGCGAGAGGAAGGGGCATAATCAGGTTTTGTCCCACATGGCTCTAAACAGCTCAATAGGCACACACTGTGACTGTAGACACACTAATTAGAAGAACACAGACTAAAACAGCAATGTACAGACGAATCAGATGATTAAACATGATCTTAAAATATATTTTATATATTTTTTTATTTATTTTTTTGCATTTTTGTAATCATTATTTGTAATACTTTCTGCTGACACTAGGTGGGGCTGTGCCCCTAATGACCAGTCGCCACTGGATACAACCCATTTCGTTCCCGTGTAAACAATGCCTTATATATCTGGTTGTACCAGTGCCACTTTTTGCCTGAAGCAAGTGGTCCTTATTTTGTGTTTTTGAATTGGCTGGTGGAGCTCTTTGAGAGCTCCTAAACACAACTTTGGCTTTAACAATTTACTTTTTTCCCTTCTTTGGTAACAATCAACCTTTTTGTCACTTGCCTTATCCCCTTGAGTATTGGGGAACGTAACTGATTGCCATGCTCTTTTTTATGCAGTTGGTTTGAATTAATTATAATAAGGGGTGCTTCACTGACAATTAACAGGCTACCATGGGCGTATTGTGAAGCTTGCAAAGGTGTGCCTTTATTATTATTTTAGTTTGTAAGCATTGTCTTCAATCAGTTCAATCCGTACACAAGTTTTTGCTGTTAATCATATGCTTACACTTTTATAAATGATGCCCCGGTTTCAAAAGCCATCATTGCACTGAGCCCAGTGTATTTTATGTCTGTATTGTATTTGTTTTTACAATCAGACGTACTACTATGCTTTCTTTCAACAAATGCATTATTTTCTACATTTGGCCAATATTCAATTAGTTATTCGAAGCTTCAGCGAACACCAGGTTGGGCAACACTGGTAAAGAGCATTGAGCAAAAACTTTGGGTTACTTAACGTAACCTTGGTTCTTTGATAACAGAGTAGGGAGTTTTGTGGGAATCGCTCCAGCGTGACCAACTAAGGAAGCTCCAATGACACAACCTCTGTCAGTAACAGACAGGTCGAACTGTACTTTGGGAACGCCCCTCATATTAATACAGTTGAAAACCTCTTCACAAAACATTCAAGACCGGTTTCTTTCCGTGTCTATAAGGAGGTGAAGTGCTGGTGAAACACCTCACTAATCAAAGAACCAAGGATAGATAGATTTTCGGGACTACAATAGGTGCTTTCACACCAAGTACTTTGCCGCACTTAGTTAATCAGAACTTAGTTCATGAGAACTCTTTAGTTCTGATGAACAAAAGAGCAGATCGCGTTCACACCGGAATAAGTCCCTGAGGGAGGATTAGTCAAATGAAGCCGCTGACGTCACTTCTTCTTCTTCTGCTTTGGGTTTACTGGCATGCCGCAAACAACTTCACGGCGTATACTGCCACCCGAAGTCCCCGGCCGGAAGTCCCCGGAGTTGGGGACTGGCTTCAGTAGAAGCTGCTGGGACTCCCAGCAGCTTCTACTGAAGCCTTCCGAGTAAATCGCCAGAAGCGCAGACACCTCCTCATCTCCACCGCTCCCATGTTTTCTTTTGTGTTGCCATAAGTTAGTCTCTCTGTGTTTGTGCGCTGGGCTAATGCTAATGCTAATAGTGCTAATGCAAGGAAAATAAAATGGCGGCTTCACAAAACTTTTTGGGAGTTTTGCGGGGCGTGGTTTGCAATCCGCCCAGCCAATCAGAAATGGGAACCTTTTTCTCCCATGAAAGTACCTGCTCTCTAGTAGAGATGGCAAATCCGGATCCTTTTACGGACTCGGAGTCTTCTGAGTCAGTCATTGAAGAGATCCGGATCATACGAGTCCTTTGAGTCATATGAGTCAGCATCACCAAGAGCGTAGAAATCCTACCGATGAAATGGTGAATGGTGTACATTTGAAAAACGTCATGTTAGTGTTGTTGAAATCTCTCCCCACTTTTGTCCGCACCCCCTAAGTAAAATGACTTCCCAATTCCCGCGGCTATGCTCGTGCATGACGAGTCTGGATCATGGATGTATGGTATGGGTCTCTGGATTTGCTGGATCGGTTACGGCTCTGAGTCCCCATGACTCACAAGTCTGCAGGAAGTGAAGGAAGTTCCCTTGAGTCAGGATTTGCGAATCTGAGTCTGCTGTTGACTTGTGCATGATGAGTCTGCCTGGATCTCTGGATCTCTGGATCTGCAGGAAGTTTCACTGATCCGCGTCCCCTGAGCCAAACGATAACTTCTGGCAGCTATCCTACTTGCTAAAGGCTAGGCAGATGGACTGGGGTACGTTGTAATGTGATTTTACAGGGCTCCAACCACTTGCACTGCATAACCTCTTGCCACATTGATTGCAATATTCAGCCATTGCACTCAAAAAAATAACTCATTGGATGAACTCAATTCAATTGTGGGCAGGATTTCCATCCAATAAATATTCGTAGCCCCAACTGAAACTAGGAACATCCATGCAATAAAATTGAATTGAGATAGTCCAACTCATTTTTATCAAATACAGCTGAAATACAATTATTACGTTAAGTAAATTAAATGAATTTACATTTTTCCAACTCAAACTAATATAAAAATTGGTAAAGAAATAACGTAAAATAAAATTATTTTTCACTTTATCCCCCATTAAGACACTCATGAGACAAAACCTGGTTGAGATATTTTTATTGAAAATTCTCAGATAACAATTACAACTTGAGGTGGATAGCCAATCCTCACCTGTACTTATGTAAACAGTGTCACAGCTCTCTGTCAATCAGAGTTATTTGTCTGTCATTTCTTTTTTTATAAAACCGAAAAGTT